TTGATGAAGAAGAAAACATTATTATGGGAGGGATTTCAACTGCCCTCTTAATCCACTTATGGATAAGAAAGGAGGCCAATTGAGTCCAAGAAAATCTGTTGTATCAACCATTAGCAACCTACTAGAAGAGTTTGATCTCGTCGATATATGGAGAGTTAAGAATCCTCAGAAAAAGAGCTTTACATGGAGTCAAAATTTGCCTACGATCTTTTGTCGTTTAGACTATTGGCTGATCTCAAATTCTTTACATGATCTAGTTAAAGCAGCAGATATATTCCCGGCAATTAGAACAGACCATGCAGCTATTACTCTTGAACTTGTATACAAATCTGATGACATCAAAGGTCCAGGTATCTGGAAAATGAATTGCTCCCTTTTAGATGATGAAGACTACGTTAATGGCATCACGGAGAGGATACCTATCTGGTTAGCTGAAGGTCGTAAGGACCTTTCGAACTGTCGAAGTATTTGGGACTGGTTAAAATACAACATAAGAGCGCACACTATACAGTATTCCAAAAGAAAAGCTCGAGAAAGAAGTGAAAGAGAAAAGGAACTCCAAGAACAACTCGCTAATGCAAAGTGTGCTTTCGAAACAGATCCTAGTATTTTGAATGCAAATCTTCTTAACTGTGCTAAAGATATGCTCGAATTGTTTTATGAAGAAAAGGTTAAAGGAATAATTATTCGAGCGCGAGCCCGCTGGCACGAGCATGGCGAAAAAAAGCACCAAATACTTTTTAAACCTAGAAAAAAGAAATCATGTCAAAAACATATGAGAAAATTAAATATCAACGGCTCGTCTACCACGGATCCGTCAAAGATCTTGTCCGAACAACAACGTTTTTATCAAGAATTGTACTCGAGTAAGAACATGAATAATGAAAATTTGCACGAAATTAAATCCTTTTTAAAAGATTTAAACATTCCTAAACTGTCAGAAGAACAAAAAATGTCTTGTGAAGGTGAAATTACTCCAGAAGAATGCGCACTTATCTTGGATAGTTTCCAAAACAATAAAACTCAGGGAACGATGGAATTCCCATCGAATTCTATATAAAAATTTTGGCCTTTACTTTGTGAGCCTTTCATTCTCTGTGCTAACGAATGCTTCGAAAAAGGTGAAATGTCGCGCTCTCAAAAGCAAGCAGTAATTACGCTCATCGAAAAGAAAGGAAAAGATCGATCCTTTCTGGAAAACTGGAGGCCGATATCTTTGGTAAATGTGGATGCGAAAATTATGGCTAAAGTTATAGCTGCTAGAATACAAAATGTTCTACCAAGCATCATCCATTACAATCAAACTGGATTTATAAAAGACCGCTATATCGGCGAAACAGTACGATCGATTTTTGACATAATGAACTTCACTGTTGAAGAAAACATTCCTGGTTTGTTGATCTTTATCGATTTTCAGAAGGCTTTCGATAGTTTAGAACGCAGCTTTTTACAAAGTTGTCTAGAATCTTTTAATTTTGGCCAGAGCTTTATTAGATGGGTTTCTTCTTTTTTACAAAAATATACAAAGCTGTGTTATCAACAATGGCATAATCTCTGATTACTTTACAGTCGAACGAGGAGTTAGGCAAGGTGATCCTCTTTCTCCTTATCTCTTTGTAGTAGCTGTTGAAACCTTGGCTATCGCAATAAGACAAAATCCAATGATAAAAGGTATTACTATTGACAAGAAGGAAACAAAATTACTTCAATACGCAGATGACACAACTGTGGTTCTGTCAGACATCGACTCAGCCCAAACCCTTTTCAGGTTGTTAGACGATTTTAAGAGGATTTCAGGTTTAGCCGTTAATCCCTCAAAAACTGAAGCAATGTGGATCGGATCATTAAAGGAAAATAAATCAAAACCTTTTGGTATTAAATGGCCAAATGAACCAATTAAAGCTCTCGGAGTCTATTACACCTATGATCAAAAATTACTACACGAGAAAAATTTTATAGAAAGACTAGACAGCGTGAAAAAATTGGTACACATATGGTCTGCGCGAGGTCTTTCCCTTTATGGAAAGGTTACTGTTATCAAATCGTTGATTGTTCCAAAATTTGTTTACGTGGCATCATTATTAACAATTCCAAAGTGGGCGGTTCAAGAATTGAACAGATTGATATTTAAATTCCTATGGAGAGGTGTTGACAAGGTCACACGTTTGTCAACAATAAATGACTACCAAAAAAGTGGCTTGAAAATGATTGACCTAGAAACGATGGTCAAATCTTTAAGACTTGCCTGGCTAAAGAGAATCTTCAGCGAAAACGACAGCACATGGAAGAATTACTTGCGTTATCAACTTAAAAGTTTCGGGGGCCTCTTTCTATTTCATTGTAACTACGATGTAAAAGACGTTCTAATCAAATCACCTTTTTACTCCGAGCTGCTTCAATGGTGGGCTGATTTTCGTGATGACTTTTCTACAGATAAAATGCGGTATAATATTATTTGGAATAATAAAGACATTAGGATAAATAATAAGCCAATTTTTTACAAAACATTTTTCGACAATGGTTTTCTTCTGGTTTCCGATCTTCGATTTGATTTAAGTATTGCAGAGTCACATAGTATCATTATAAGAAAGATTGAAAAAAACCAATTTCTTAGTATGGGCAGGTCTCAGATATGCTGTACCGTCCCACTTAAAAGCTAATCCTAGAACATCTGATCACACCTTTTTAACAATGCCACCCTCCGTGATAATTAAGAATAACGACTTTGATATTTTAAAGAAGAAATCAAAAGATTATTATTCATTGCTCATAAGTAAAAAGGCACAGCTTTCTAAAAATACCTCAGCTTTAAAACGGGATTTTAATCTGACGGAAGATCAGCTAGAAAAAGCATTTCTTTTACCGCACATCATATGTTCTGAATTCTATGTTAAGGCCTTTCAGTACAAGGTCCTTAACTCCATATTATATACTAACACTAAGTTATATAAAATAGGATATATTACCGATGATAAATGCTCCTTTTGTATGTATAAACCGGAAACCCTTATCCACCTTCTTTTTGACTGTGTATATGCAAAACTTTTCTGGAAGGATTTTGAATTATATTATTACTCGTTGTCAAATGAATTGATCAACCTTAGTCTACAGGATGTGCTATTAGGTATAATAGCCGTACAATGCCCTTTACTGAACTACTTTCTACTAATAGCCAAACTATATATATGGGATTGCAGAAGATCACAAACTCGTCCAATTATTGCAGGGTTTAAGTTAAGGATTAATATTAAATTCGAAACAGAAAAATATATTTGTACCAAAAATAGAACTTTAAGTGACTTTTTATAAAAAATGGGCGATATTGTGCACCGCGTAACGCTTTATTATTATTAGTATTATTATTATTACAGTCTAGGCCGTTCAGTTCTCTTTACTTATCCTTCTAAATAAAAAGAAAAACACTTATACTTAATCTATATATAATCCTCTTATACTTTTCTGTTGCCACTGTGTTTATAGTGTTAGTATTGTAAATTATGTTAGTAATCACTTTAGTTTAAGTTATTAGTCGTCAATAATTGTAATTGTAACTTTCTTTTCTTCTTTCTATGTAAAAAAAGTAATGAGTACGGTGTTGTAAGTAGTGTAAGCACTGTAAGTTGTGTTAAGTAACATTTTGTAAGTAGTGCTTGTGTTGTAAATAAATAAAAAAATAATTAAAAAAAAAAAAAAAAAAAAAAAAAAAAAAAATGGACAATTAAACCATTTTTTAGATGTTCGAAAATCCTAGGAGAGGCAGGCAAGCAAGAAATTTTACAACAAATGTTCCGAAAATTCTAGATCTCAAATCGTCTTCCGAACAGATATTTTCCAAAAATTGTCGTTGGGTGCCCCTGCGGCTTCATCTGTTCCTTGCGTTAAAATTTCTCGATAAACGCCCCAAGGATCCTTTTTGATAAAAACTGGCTTAGAGATATACACTTACTAGACCGATTTTTACTGTCGCCATTACCACCGTTTTCGTTGATACGCGACTTTCGAAAACAAAACACCCGCGGAAACGTTTCCAAAATTTCCGTCAATCATGCATGTTATCGACAGATCGGATCGAAATCCACCAATCACAACCACTAGTGTGACCTTCTGACCTTCTTTACGTCATGCTAGCGGGCTGTGATTGGTGGATTTCGATCCGATCTGTCGATAACATGCATGATTGACGGAAATTTTGGAAACGTTTCCGCGGGTGTTTTGTTTTCGAAAGTCGCGTATCAACGAAAACGGTGGTAAAACTCCCTGACGCAAATTTGAATGGGTTCTAATTCTTCCTTTCTAACTGCTTGGCGGAAACGTTTGCCGTTCGCATGATTTTCGTATGTATATATTAAAACAATAATTCACCTCAGGCTCAGTTTTATTATTCAACAACATTTTAAGTTAAAACTTTGCCTTCGGCGAATACAATTGTTAAATATATATATATAGCATGTACAAGATATTATTTTCTATCAAATCCCACACTGTTTTAATTCCAGGAATTATATCCAGATTATCCAAATCTTCTTAACAGTCATATCGCTAATTACTCAGTTTCCTAGCCAGCGATGAACTAATGGTCGAGGTGTCTCTGCTCCCCTACTCTGGGTGTCACAGGCTTTTCATGCGCGGTTTCCGGTTTCCCGCGAACACGTGTCGGCCGACGAAACGAAGCTCCCCGTCGCACGTGAGAAAAAACCTCTGGTACCTAGGGTACTGCTACCCCCCCCCCCCCACCCCCCAAAAAAGTTTTTTTTGTGGGATATCTGTCTCTGCTAGGTTCTAATCTAACGGTAATTCGTGGATATTTAATCACATTTCTGAAAGAATCTTGTTTTCAGTAAATTTTATTGGATGAAAAAAATGAGAGATGTCCTTTAAAATGTGGTTGTTGTTTATCGTGGTGTGTAAGATAGGTGAACCCCTTTTCAATTGTCTCACGATGGAGTCACTTTGGGATGTTAATCGCGACGTTTCGACTGTCTTCATGAGGCGATGAGGTCGTTTGCCTACGTGTCGCTTATTGACCCCGCAGGCGGTGTGCGTCACGACCCACAAAGGTTCATGGGTAAAACTGTTAATATGTGCCTCATTTCAATCGTGACACGGTCGAGTTCGCATCTCGTGAGAGAGATGCGAGCTGTAAAAATTATTACAGTCTGTTCATCGAGAAACTTGTTTCAGAACCCTCCGCAGTAAGGGCTTGGAAAAAAAGCTTTTCAGAACTTCCTGACTGGGGTGGTTGTTTTGTGAATATATACAAGTCCTCGAAAGATAATAAGCTTAGACAGTTCACTTTTAGGGTTGTGCACAGAATAAGCATGACAAAGAAAGAACTACTGAAATATAAATTAGCCTCGGATGATAAATGTCCTTTCTGCCTTAATCCAGATTCAATTGAACACACCTTTTTATATTGTCAAGAGTAAAAGGAATTATTTTCCAAAACTTTAAGGTGGTTTAATGAATATCATAAAGAGAACGTACAACTTTCGAACAAGCAAATTTTATTTAACACGTTCGATGACTCTATGACTCCCTTCCAATGCAAATGCCAATTTCAACTCAACGCAAACTTTGTCTATTGGTTTTCCTGCAAAAGAAATACTTGTATACTTGCAAGAACATTGT